ATTCACCCCCCACCGCTCTCCCACTGACCCCCCACAAAATAAGGTAACAACCCGTCATTTTCTCCCTTATTTTTATACGTCGCAGTTTTTCCAAAATCCCCCAAAGCCCCTCCACAGCTCCCCCCACAGCTCCCCCACACATTTATTCGTGACCCCTAACCGCCCCCCACCACCCCCACACTACTTTTGGGGAACCTGACAGGAATCATACCGTCGTTCTCGGACCTTGATGTGTATCCAGACGTGTACAACTGTCCTATTGACATGATTCATTTTATCGTCAAGAAGTCATTTAAAGTCATAATTAATTTATAGGAGGTCGTCGTGCAAAGCGTCATTATTATTGTATATATTAAATTATAAAGTTAACTGTTATATTACATAGCTAACAGTGTAGGGCATCCCAAGCCAATAAAAACATGTTTTTTTCTTACAATAAATATTTTTTTCATCTATTTTTCCGCCCTGCCCAGGAGGAAAATAGATGGACTTTATGTTTACGAATAAATAATAAACATTCCATTTATTTAACTAGGTATGACCAGAAACCAATTTTTATCATTTGTATTTCAATTTATTTGTAAGTATAAAGTTCTTGGTGTGCTAAGCTCTTTTTTTGTTAACATTTATGATAAACTATGCGTAAAGTTTTTATGTGTATGTATTACATTATTTTGTATGTGAGTTAATAATACCAATACATACATAAATTTAATTTATATTTAGTTTATCATTATTACAAACTGCGGAAGTTTCGCATTAAAATGACTTATTTTATGAGTCAACTTATAAAGCCCTATCAAACGACGAAAACTAAGGTCTATTCCTATTCTGTTTTAAATTAGTTGAAATTGGTACAGTAGAAATTGAACACAATATACATTCATGGGATACATTCATTATAAGTTATAAATTTTGTCTATACATACAAGAATACTTAAATCGTGTTGTTATTATTAGATACATAATTACTTAAAATCAAAAATTTCTTTTCAAACTATATTTTCAATATCTAAAATGTTTTCTCTATCAAGTTGAACGAAAATTCCATTTTTATTTTTGCATCTCGATAAAGCCACGCACTATTGACCATGAGAAAATGAAGGTTTTTTCAAGTATAATCCCACATTATCAAAAGTTTGACCTTGAGACTTGTTTATAGTCGTAGCAAATGCTACAACTAATGGGAACCGTTTTCTATATAAAATAAAATATTTTCAGTATTTAATGTAATTCTTGGAATAAAAACTTTATTACTAACTTTACCCCCACTAGCCCCACTAGTGTATACATATTACTGAACACCATGCTGGACCTAAAATTTTAAACTTTGTCATTTTTTTTTTACAGGTTAACAATACAGTTAAACTGTACCTTATAATGATATAATTATTTTTCGTAACCAAGAAAAACTTTTCGTGCTAATTCACATAAGTTTTTAGGCTTTTAAAGCTGCTTTCTTGTAGAAAACTTTGACTTTCAACAAAGAGTCAAACTTAAAGTGGTGTAAGCTAGGTTCTGCTGGAAATCAGCAAGAAATCATTTTATCAGACAGTGATTGTTGCAAAGAAAACACACTATCAAAGATCCCTGTGTGAAAAAAGACAATGGCCCTTGAGCTCTGATGATGGAACGGATGTTATCTGACAGCTTTTTTTGCAAAAAAGAAAAAGTACGAAAGAAGTTTTAAAAAGATGATTCACTGGAAACTTAGATGTTAGGCTTTAACATGAACTTATCAGAGATATTAGCTCTAGCTCTGTTAAAACTTTGCATAAACTAGAGTTGCCTTGTCCTTATCAAAGTTTCTTGCATACACTTCGGGTCTACTATCTTTTTAAAAAGTAGCATACTGCCTATCACATTTTGAAAACAATACTGAGGAGCTAATGTTACCATGAATAGCAGGTAAAATAAAGTTGATACTCAAAGTTACTTTATCATAATGCTTTACACACCTGACATGCTTACATAAGTATGACGGTTAAAAAATAAAACTGAATTATGAGCTACTAAAATAAATTAGAATTAGTTAATGGGTTTTAGGATTTGACATAAAGTATTGTCACATTATTAATTAATAAATCACAATAGTTGTAATATTAATTTATCTTAAGGGTCTCTGTATAATTTAAAAATAACATGTTTGCCTTATTCTTTAAAAGAAAAGTTGTAAGGACAAAAGTATTATGTTTCGTAGGAGATAGTTATTTGTCTTAGAAGAACTTGATTTTGTACTTAATGTAAAGTTTAATATGAGTTATTAGATTAGTTGAAAATAACATGTTAGTAAAAAAAGTTCTCAATGTCATTATATCGACAAAATTGCACAAAGCCGAAGAATGAAGATTTTCTAATTATATAAACTTCTTTATATGCCCTTTAGATATGAAAAAAACTTTATAAAAACGCTGGACCTGCATTTCCCGTTTAATTTTACAGGAAACATGTATTTCTTGTTTATGTAAATCAATTTAATTTTCAGATGCTGTAGAAAAGGCAGAAAAATGTTTAAATGGTTAAAACGCTTAATAACGAGTTGTAAAAAAGTTTTTATTATTTGAGACGGTTTGCCAATTGAATAAAAATCACTTAGGTTTTTTAAAATTAGTGTTTGAGTAAAAAAAAATGTTTAAGGGGATAATGCTAAATTTGCGAAATTGGAAAATACCAAGCACCTTTTTTTACGTCTTTAAATTTAAAATAAGACTTTACTATTTATGTTAACAAAAGGAGCAGGCTTACTTATAACACTAAGACCTTTTTTAAATAGATCTGATGGGCTTTTCAAGGTGCAATGTATAAGAAACAGCTGTGATGCTACATTCACTTGTAAAATGAAAAGTGGCTACCTCGGTAGGGAACTCAAGATGCGTTCAAATTGTGCATCGACATAAGTAGTCTCAATACTGCAACCAATGAGATGCATTTTCTAATGATGGAAGATTAAAAAAACCTTAGTACTGTAGATTTATTTTTTATGATATAATTGTAAAATTTCGACAATAAGGAACTAATTTACAATTATTAAAGTGCAATCTGCTGAATGATTAAAGTTGACACTTACACATATTTATTAATACAGATTTATAAGACCGTTTTTTTTTTTACTTCGAAAGTATTGATTATTTAATATTGAAATATTGACGTTCTTATGCGAAATGGTGAATCGTTTTTTTTTTGGAAGACACCGTCAAAATGTCTTTTATACATTGTATTACACTTAACTTAAAACAAAAAAACTGTTACCTTATCTTAAAATATAAAAAACGAATATAATTTGCTGAAAAAATGGTGTAAGCATATTTGAATTACATTGAAGAAATAAATGGACATGACTTATCATATAAATTCTAAATCACTAAAGTATACTATTAGAAGATAATTAATTATAATACATAGATATAATTATTTTTAATTTTTTTTAACTTAAAAGAATTAAACAACACGTTCTTGATTCTTTCTTGTTTTGTTCGTTTTCTCTTGATATACATATGTATTATTTTATTTTAAAATAAATTATGTACTTATAGTTTAAGAGTAGTTTAAGCACTACACCAGCGTATGAACACGTAAAGTGTCTCCTTGCTAGAAATTCTTTAAATTTTTTTGTATTGATCTTACGTGATACTTATAAAATAACATCGAGTGGCTTATCATGATTATGAAATGTAATGAATTTTACGTATTTATTATTAGGTGGTGAATAAATAAATAAAATAAAAAAATTTAACTATAGTCTTACAACAAAGATCTCTGGCGATCATAGATTTTCTTTACTAAAAGAAAATAATAATTTTGTGTAGGTACAGTGACACTCACCTTATTATTTTTCAAATTTGTTATGCTATACAGTAAAACATTATTTGTATCAGAATGCAAAAAAAATTGCTCACTTAATACACTTTTACTCTACTATAATACGTTTGTTGCTTCTTAATTTGTCTTAACTAAAATAATTAAATACAAAATGATTTTTTAAATTTTGTTTTAGGAGCAGCTAGAGAATGAAGGCAAAAGAGTACAAAAAGAAGACAACAAACTACTAGGATCAAGGTGGACACCGTTTTTTTTAAGAAAATAATGACTCCTTCAAGAACAATGTCATCATTTCGCAGCGTATCATTCTCAATGAAAAACATGTTTCTTTTAGTCGTACAAAATCAATATTTTTAGCTCAGAAGCATAACATTGAAAGTGTAAATATTTTTTAATTCTTTATGTGGGAAAATACAAATTTGCGTTAACGTTTTGCAGTCTTACATTTTAGCTTTAGTACTGATATATGCGAATTTATTGTCTATTAATTGTACTTAAGCTCAAACTCAAATACTTTAAATCAAATGCCATACTGAGAATTAAATTTTTCAAAAAGTCATTACTAAACACACAGATATAATTTTTAGTCGAAAACAACTGAAATTTATAGGCGGCCTCGTAAGCGGTGGAGGATCAACTTTGCAGTCCGCCGAAAGTACAGCACACCAAGTTCATGGAAAATTCGCTAAATTACATATTCACACTTGCAAGTACCGGTCGAGTTCTTTCTTACCTTCATCCTTTCTCTTCTTTTGTTTCAGGTGGTAGAGTTACTCGCTCTCTCTAACTCTTGTTATGTGTGTCTCTCTCTCTCTTTTTTCTCATTAGCTAGACATTTCTCTCCTTCTGTAATTGTTCTCCACCTATCGATCATGCGTACTATAGCTCTAACTGCCCCTTGCTCTCTTCAAGCGTCCTTAGATCGTAGGTCCCTCTCCCTCTCTTAATTTATCTATACCACTCTCTCTCTCACTCTTTCAAAGTTTTTCGTGCAATGTGTAAGGGTGTTGATGGGTCTCGACGACTGTAGTGGGTGGGAGAATTAAGAGGAAATGGGGGTCTTCAGTTAATTTTGGTGGGCGCGCTGGGTCAGTTCTGAACTATCTGTCTATACAGAGTGGTCTACAGTTGTTAACTTTGATCTCGAGTATTTTGGCATAGTTGGGTATTGGCTTCCTCATCTTTCTCATCATCATCACGCATGTGGGCATCCAGGTGTCACTCTTTTGGATTTAACTTCTCCCTCTTTTTCATTCACTTAATCATTATCGTCATCTGCATCATCTTTGAGGAGCTTGGCGTGCTGTGGGTACGCAGTCGACAGGGCAGCAACACTCTTGCTGCATTTCACATAAGTATTTATACAACTTATGAAAAATTGCACAAGTATAAAAACTGTATTAAAGTTGTATTTTTAGAAATATTTAACATGGTGCAACACATTTTTTTCCATCTTTGCAAGCTTAAGCTGCATCAGAAACCTATTCTGGTGGCTTCAAAACCCGTACAGTATAAAAACAGGTTATAAAACGTCTAATATACCCGTTGATAAGTAACGTATAGCGATCGCATTGAAATCAAACCTTTTTTTCTTTTAAAGTATTTCTTTTCTGTTCCACTTAAAATAGTTTTCTATGTTCATAACTCAGATTGAGAGTGTGGACAAATATACGTCAAATTTATTTTATTGGAAAAAATTTGTATAATTTCATTTAAAAACTTCTCAAGTTGTATATGACCCTTAAAACTCAGATACTATACTTAACAGTTACTTTTCTTGAGAAAAAAAAAATGTCCATGACTTACGTTTATAATTTTTTGAAAATTATTCAGGATGAGTTCAGCATATTTGCTATAACCATTAAGATATGCACTAATGGTGTGCATGGTGGTTTTAGGCAGGCTGAGTCCCAACAGATATAGAGAATAATTGCTTGTGGAATTGAGCATTTTCAAGGCCTAAACTTACTAAGGTGCCAAACAACTAGATCCGAAGAGCTTCTAGTGGTATTAATCGTGGAACGGACCTATTTTTAATCCTGTTTGTACTACCTTGGTAGTCACTTAAATTGATTTACCAATCATTGAGTATTGAAAGTAGATGAGGTAGATTTCTGCGACAATCATTACTATTTTGTAAATAGTCTACAATCTGTACTTTCAACTTAAAATTTAAGACGTACAGAAAAAATTTTATGATCAACATACATTAATTATATCCTTCTATGTGAATTAACTATATGTTTTTATGTCTGTAGCAAATATTTTATAATTTCTTAATACCAAGAGTGCAAAGTGAAATATTCATCTGTAAAGATTTTGTGCCCTTCAATACTGCGCCCACGAAATGGAAAAATAATTTGTTTGGTTAGCAGAGAATGCGAGTTTTACCTGGGAAGTTATATTGCGCTCTTGACTCTGAAATAGTAGAAAAAACATTACATTTCAACGGAGGCAGGTGAAAAATTACACATGCTATTGGAATTTGAACAATGCTTACAGTGCCAATAGCTTATGTAAATTCACATAAGTCTGCGGTTTTCCTAAGCCTCGACATTAGGCTAGTCTATAATTTGCCTTACTTCTGACCGTTGTTTTGATTCCAATACGGCACAAAAGTATGGTATTCCCTTTTGGATATATGACTGCCTTTCAAGCCAAATACTTGTGGCGTAATACACTATTTTTTGTTATGCAATAATTATATTCCAAATAATTTTTGAAAAAAATTTTGCTCAAAAAAAGAAATATTTATGCTGCCTGTATTATAAATATATTTTCAGACAAATTTGAATATGTTTTCTAATAAGTGACAAAATAATTTAAGTCTTTAGTATTGAAAAATTTCTTTCTTGTAACAAATATCAAATAAGTTTTGTTGTTGTAAGACAATTATGTGTCTATCGTCTATTTTAAAAAGTTATACAAATAAAAAAAACGTTATGCCATAAGTATTGAAAAAAATTACTAACAATGAATTCAGTACATGTTTAAATAAATAGCACAACATTTCTTATATCCTGTTCCAATAATTGCAATTCAAAAACGTTATTTTAATACCGGAATCTAGCAGCTACATGTTACGTAGTTGTTTCATTGGTCTCAAAAATTTAAATGCAAAGATTTGCATCTAAATATTCTACTTCATGAAGTTTTCAAGTGATTTTATAAATAAGTAGACGCTACGTAACGATAAATGTGTGGTCAATGGAGTCTGCTGCGCACGCTTCATCTATCATACAACGTATCCTTTTATACAAAATGCCACTTACTATTATTATCTTAATTTTTACTGTAGTGATCGCCTTTTTTGATAACAGCATGGGAAAATTTAAGTTTTAATTTGTAATACTTATATATTTATTGTATCTGATAGTTTCGTTTAAGGTTGTGCTTCATCGATCTTTCTTTTTCTACCATAGGAGTGCATATTAAAAGAGCTAATTTATAGTTCAAGTATATCGAAATTGTGATGGTTCCGGATATAAAAAAAGGCATCTTAAATTTATTGTGATTTTAAATTTTAAACAGTATACGTCTTGATTCTTGATAATTGGGTGCTTGAGCCTCCTTAACTAGTATTCTTTGATCCCCCATCTTCTGTTACTCTAGGAGCTTGAAAGTAAAGTGGAGATAAATATTTGCGTGAAAGGATGTTTTAATAAAACTATTCATAAAGTTTCAACTTCAGATTTCGTGGATAATAGTGTCTATATTTGTGTGTAATTAAAATATACACACATTTTGAGCTCCATGTGTCTTACCTAAGCTAAGAATTAAGTTGTTACATTACCTGATAATTAAGTCCTTTTCTAAGAGTTTTTACTAATCTTAAACATCTACGTTTATGCATTAGCATTAAGTTTCAAACTTGATTTTGACAAAATCTGGAACGAGGGTAAATTTTGTTATGACAGATTTTGTGGCAACTGGACAATGGCAAGTATTGCATTATTTAACTTCAAAGTTAAACTTAGTTAATGTGGATTAAACAAATTTCAAGAACAGCGATAAATTTAAAAGTAAACAATATTGAACTAAAGTGCAATGTTGCTTAAAACTACAAGTAAAGTTATAATTGCAACAGCAAGCTTATGAGGTAAAAAAATATTATCACTCAGCAAAGTCAAAAGTTTTAAATATGAGTAACACATTTTTTGGCTCATTTTACTAACGAACTAGTGTTAAAGTGATTCAGGTAGTACTACGATACAGCTTCATAGAAAACACACAACATAGGGTACACAAGTGAACAATTCAAGAGAGCGTGACTTTAAAAGTTTGAGGTAACTTTAAAGGTTTAAAGTATAAGATTCAAAAGTATTCTTTAACTTCATACTAGTGCTTTGTAAAATACTTGATGACTGTGCTTTATTTATTTGTGTCTTGTAACAATTGTATCTATAGATTTTGGTTTGGTAATATATACTATTTCTTATTCTTATCTTTTGTAATGGGAAGATTCTTGGTTCAATACTCGTACAGAGTCAATATCAAAGGTATGATTGTTATCATTGATAAAAATACGAACAATGAAAGACTATCTTGATTTTGCAGTTCTGTATTCGATGTAATAGTTCACTAGCACTACCTGTATAGCTTTATCACTAACTAATCAGTAAAATGAGCAATAACATATGTAGCTCATTTTTGAATTTTTGACTTTGCTCAGTAATAACATTTTTTCACCTTGTAAGTTTTGCGTTATTTTATTGTCTAATATAAATTAAAGATGAAGGGTATTAAGATTATAATTTCGCTCATTTTTTTTAAATCTAGGAATTTGGAAAAGACTGTTAATGAGCAGTCAAAACGTTGTCAATACTTAAAAAAAATTAAATAATTTTAAACAACATTGCCCTTGGGAACAATATTGGTTTTTTTGAGTTTTTCTTACTGGAGTTGCGGTAAATTTTTTCTAATTGACATACCCCAAAAAATGCACAGGGCTCTAATCTTTCGAGATTTTTGAGGAGGCCTGTCTGAATTATTTTCTTTAGTTTAGTGGTTGTCACGTACACCAAGTTCTTACGTGCTACTTGAAAGTTTTAGTTGTAGTCTGCAAAAGCTGAATTTGCTTGAGGGTGCTCCTTTTTCAACAAATGTCACGGTTCCATTAGATTCCTTCTGCTTCTATCATGCCTTATAATAAGAGCTTAACTACCAGTGTCTGTTTCGTACATTACGCAAAGTCTCTTCTTTGCTGCTACGTTGACTGAATATAAATTCTTAACAAATGTGGGCATGTACAGCATGCATTTGTTGTTCATGAATAACTCTAGATAACAAAGACAATTTCATGGTTATGATGTACTCACTGGCTGTTTTGAACTATCGTGGGTGCACTCTAACTTAACTTCTGAACTTACCAATTGACACATTATATGATTAGTAGCATAAACCAACAACTTGAATAATCTAATAGAAATCCAGAATTCTCTCGATAACAGAATTCAGATCTATAAATATTTTTATAATTTAAAATTAAATCCCTCACTTATCTTTGAAAAATGATTTTGCATAGACTGTAAAATTAACTACATTGTGTGCTACTTCGTACGAAAATCAGTCTTACACTTAAAAAAAAGGCCGAGCTTTAAAACAAAAACTGTGATCTACAGCTTAAAAATAAAGGTAAAAAGAATTGGTCATTGTTACAACTCATACATCCAATAAATACTAAAAAAATTTATGCAAATCAGTTTTAACAAGATTGAAAAGTAAGTTGGGGGTTCCTTACAGGAAAAACAAAATTGAATTTATTTTTCATTCTACACGTTAACTGAGCTCTAAGTATGGAGAATAAAGTTTACTTTAGGTGTAAGGAGAATATTCCAAGTTAATAAAAATAATCCCTTCATGAAGATGTGTATTTTTTTACGTAACATTTAGACGTGTATTGTACCATTAGTACAGGTGAGTTAGTTTAACAGTTGAAAAAAATCTCTGTTGATTTTTTTCACTGGGTAATTAGGAAAAAAAAGCAGAAATAGCTAAGTGTATTTTTAGAAAGCACAGGGTATCCTTACGGTAAATAAGGGTCAAATGCCCTCATTTTTTCTTTAAATCTTGTGAAGGAGTTTATTCAAGTATAAAAAAAATTGGACAACTTGTCCAAGGTCCCAAAAACTTGTTTTGTGTCCTTAGAACCCAAAAAACCTTGTTTTTTGCGTTTATTTTTTATCTCAATTTCAAATAAGTTCGAAAATCTGCAAAATTTAAGACTATAGAAAATATTTTAATTCGTATGCGAAATTTTTTTAAACGTCATCCAAGGTCATCATAACCTTCACAAAAATCATTTTGACTTTGAAATGTAGTTTTGAGCATGTTGCCTTTTTGGAGCAGTCAACATTATTTCACTATCTTGTAGAGCGAAAAAATACACTCTCATGTATTTCTTCAGACTTTTTCCAGTTGTACGCTTTGTCGAAAAATGCGATGTACTGGCCGTTTTCGGTATGCAAAAAATGTTTTTAAATCTTCTTGAACTTTTTTCATTGTTATATTAATTATATCTTTCTTACAGTTAAGATTTGCATTTCATGGTCTTTTACACCATCATTGAGGAGTCATGAACATCACGTTAGATATTTTTTACACAGAATATTAGCCAACAGCTATATAAACAGTTTTTTACCTTTAATCTTGACTTTAAAACCAGTCGTTGAATAAATTGTTTGAACAAAAATGATATTATGAGTTGTGTGCAACGTTTCAGGTTGGAATATTGAAATAAATCTTAAAAAGCAGCTTAAAAAACTTCTTTTTACGTATTACGGGCTTCTGTTACGCATAGTCTTTTATACTTAAGATAAATTCATGGCTGCCTTGAGGCTGTAAAGTATGAATCTTTTTTCATAAATATACATGATAAGTACTACGTATTGCTTTTAGATGGCAACTCGTTAAACCACCTTTTTTCACAACAAAAATGAAAGACAAATACTTTTCGATGTTACGATAACTTTGTGATGGAATATCTTCAAGTTTTTGACTGTTAGGGGACCAAACTAAGATATCATTGAAATCAGCTAGTCCTCAACAATTAAAAATGCTATAGGTAGCCATTATTATGTCCTTTCTGAGACCCCTCTTAATATACTTGTTGAAAGTACTTTAGTATGTATTATGCATTTCGTATCCGACAAAATCAAAGTGTGCAATGTGTTAAATCGACAAAAAAACTAAAAAGTTTCATATAAATACATTAATTAACTGTTATTTGTTCGGAATTCACACTGTCACATAGAATTTTAACCATAAATACATAACACCTATTGAATGTCATACACTTGTCGTTAAAAGATGCTGCAAGTTCTTAAGCAGAATCTTTTGGTATGGATACTAGTGTAGAGTTCTGACGAATAATAAATTTTTGCATTGTTTGTTTTACTTAGGAATTTCATACAAAATAATGATACATAATTCTAAATCAATTTTTGCTGATTAGATTCTAAAATATTCACGTTATACAAAGCTTGTAAGTATGTATTCTTTGATCTTTAATTAAAAAACAATTGAAAGTAATCAAGGGATTATTTATATTAAAAAGTACTAATTTAGGCCTTAATATATTTTCTACATCATAAAAAAATTTTTTTTGAAGTAATACTTCTGTAGGCGCGTTCTGCCCTACAGAGTAAATCAACGATGTGTAGCAAGATTACATTTAAGAAGTTCTTTTCTCGCATTAAGAGAGCCACTGGATCTAAGTCTAAAAAAAAAAGAAGAAAAAGAATAATTCATAATACTTTGCAAGAACATTACGACGGAGCAGCGTGACCAATTGCATACTCAAGAGGTACTAAACTCATAAGTGCTGTGAAAAATAAACATTTGCGATCGAACGTAATTAGTTGGCTAAAGAGTCAAGGTACCTATGATTTACATAGACCCATAAGCAATCGTTTTCCCAGAACAAACTATAATGTGCGTAACTTAGACGACGCGTGGAAAGCTGATTTGATGGATTTGAGAGTTTTAAAAGCTTACAATGATGGCTACGCCTATGTTCTCGTTCTCATCGATGTCGTCAGCAAATACGCTTGGGTTGAACCGATTTATGATAAAATATTGAAAAACGTTGCTAAAGCATTTCAACATATTTAATCAAGAAGTGACGATCGTACACTAATGTGTCTGCAAACGGATAAAGGTAAAGAATTTGTAGGCCCTGAAATGCAATTCGTTTCACGAGAAAATAAAATTTAATACAGACTAGCACGTAGTCCATAGACGATGGCTGCAATAGCTGAACGTCTTATAAGACCTATTAAAGAAAGAATATGGCGATGCTTTACCTACCCACACAAACAATCGTCGGTTCGTAGACTTTCTTCCAAGTATAATAGAGGCATACAATCGCACAAAGCATTCGTCGACAAAGATGGCGCCGTCTGACGTAACTTTGCACAATGTTACGCAGGTACGTAAAAATGTAAAGCAACGTTACGGCAGACATCTTTATAAAAATCAACAGTACAAGGTTGGAGATTTGGTTCACATCAGTAGGACGAGAAGTGTCTTTGCCAAAGGTTACGAAAGTGGTTGGACTTTAGAGTTGTTTAGAATTGTATGTATCTCTTGCATACGACAGCCTCCAGTATATTTTCTCAAAGATTTGGCTGATGAAGACATTCATGGTTTCTTTTACGAGGAAGAGTTAAGCAGAGTGCGAAAAGAATTGAACAAGAGCTTCTTTGAGGTTGAAAAAATATTGAAACGTCGAAAAGGACGTTCCAAAGAATATTTCGTCAGCTAGAAAGGGTATCCTAAAAAATTTAATTCCTGGATGAAAGGTAATAATTTAAAAGATATAAAACAAAGGACAAATTTACCGTTGTGTTACCAAGTGACAGTAGCATGCAGTAGTACTCTGATAATACTACAACGCATTACGTGATAAGATTACCTCAGCAAATTACTTTGCCAGGTCGATGGAGTGTTGGTATAGCAGAGATTCAATAACCATTGACGTTTCAACATGCGATCAAAGATAGCGAAAGAAAAATTACCGTAAAATGCATACCACGGGTACACAATAATGTACATAGAGAATGTCCTGTGATTAATGTACATTATTGCATACACCCTGGTCTATACGCAAATATCGAAGAAATGATATAAAAAACCAATACTTTTGATACCACGCGAGATCATGTGGTTTTCAGTTTGGAAAGAGGTGGCTACGTAGTGGCTTAGTTAGTATATTCCGAAACAGTGCGCAGGGAATACACGTATCGCTTACTATTATCTGAAAAATTACGTAATATCTTGGGCTTTGAAAATGCAACATACCTTTTCTTTATGTTAGAGAATGATGACAGGAAAACAAAGAACTCCAGAAGAAACTCGAGAGTTAGACGGCAGTTCAGTACAAGCTAATAGTACAACTCCAAGCAGAGAGGCGACTGCAACCCTTTGAACGAGTAATAGAGTTGCCGTTGGCCGTGGCACATAATTAAAATTTGCGAGATAACTAGTATGAGCGCTGGGAGTCACTTAACTCTATCAGGAGGCGTAGTCCATAGGACAAGACTAAAAAAGAACTTTTTATCCAGAAATATGCAATGCCAAGAAAGTTATGTTATGGTTTAATATAAAAAAAAAAAAAAAAACTTATCGTCGATAACAATACATAATAATTGTAGCTATAATAATAACAATAATAATAATAATGATAATAATAATTGCAATAATAATAATAACAGTTATTATTATGAAAATGTGCAGACAAGATTAAGCGCCTGAAGTCGCTCGACTCTATTAGGGGGCGCAGTCCATAGAACGAAGACAAGAAAGAATTTTCTGGTTTTCCAAAACATGTAATGACAGTAGAGTTATGTTAAGTTTAATTACATTCATAAAGTACTATCGTTGATCACAACTCATGAAATAAATCAATAAGAAAATAAGTAGGTATGAGTGCCAGGAGTCCAGGAAAGAAATTCGTATGAATTTTTTTTGTAAAATAAACAGCTAAGAAATGGGAAACTATAAAATAGAAACTACATGTAGAATAGCATTAAGTAGAATTCCATCTTTATTATTTCGTATGTAAAATAATACTTAACGTAAAGTAGTCTTAAGCAGATGCCCAATTCGTGGCGATTTCGTATATAATTTTAATATAAGACAAAGCGCATACATAATCAATATTGTCATATACTTAACACACAATGAGAGGAGACTGAATGATTAGAGGATCGAAAATATTAATGTAAAGAGAACAGCGATTCTCTACAATTGAATGGAAGGATGAGTGTGAAATACTTAACTACATAAACAACACAGACTACAGAATATAGCACGGCATACACACGCACAATTGCAAACAAAGCTACAGGCTCAATTCTTGATAAATTAAAAAGTCAGTGTCGTCGAGGACGACGACGTCGCGGCCTCAGACGTGTAACGTACGATACTTACTAGAAACCGAGATAAAAAATAAACGCAAAAAACAAGGTTTTTTTGGGTTCCAAGGACCCGAAAAAATTTTTGGGACCCTGGACTAGTTTTCCAATTTTTTTTTTATAAATAATTGAAAAAACCTCTGAGCAAGATTAAAAAAAAAAATTGACGGCATTTGACCCTTATTAATCGTGTATACACTTTTTACAGAATCTGTCTCAAAAACCTCAAAAAACTTTGTAAAACAGGTTTTTTGCAATTTTTAACGTAAAAAAAATATTTGCTCAAAACAAAAAATAGTCTAAATAAAGCAAAAACAAAGAAAATAAGTTTCGTTGACTTGTAATCGGTCAACAACTTTTCCCACATAAAAAAAGGGCTGAAAATGGGCATTTTTGGACATTTAATTCTTATTGTCCTAGAAATTTTTTTTGCTGGCATAACTTGTAGGTATTTGTTGTACCTAGCCGTAATAAAAATTAACTTACAAATTTTGAAAATTATGCTACAAATTGTAAAAAGGTAAAAAAAGGTAATTTACGCAAATGCTGGAGAAATTGCCAAAATGGTCCAAAGTCAATTCTTTAAAGTGATATGTATTGTGCAGATTCTCATCTACGGTGCAGTTACTATTTTAAATACTCATTATGGCGCCCTGTCCCGAAAAAACGCATTGCATAATAGTTTAATTTTGTGGCTGTGAACGCTGAGGTGAGACAGTAAAGTCGTGTTACGTCGCGGCACATAAGGTTTATGGCCAAGACTTTAGCTCTATAGCCTGAGATCAACACTGCGGGAACTTGCGGTACTAACCGCATAGGCTGAGTTTGTCGGCTCGCGTTTGGTTCTAATGATAGCAAAAGGGGGGGGATGGGTTCGTCATCACAGGGGGATCTGAAAATTCCATCCACCTGATCCTCACCGAGTGCGACTGTTCAACCGCACGCGCTCTCAACTCTAGGTTCGCGTCAGTGGCCTACAGGGCTACGGAGTTTTTCGTAGTCCTGATGGCCACGATTTCCATTTATCTAGAAGAGACGCTGATGTTTTGGCTTATGCAAGCTAACGTTAATGTTAGTGATATCAACTGGACCGATGGCGAACTGCACAGTTGCACGCAAGTACCAAGATCACACACTGGATACTGGCGTCCAACGATTCTTGAGTGAGATAAAGTAAAAAAAGGAAAGTTTAAAACTTACTTTTATTCAGGTCAATTGGTACACTTAGGTGCAACTTGTGCACCTAGGAGCGAGACTCAAGTCGTTTAGGATATACACTAAAGTTAGGAACCCGATGGGTAACTACTAGCTGTGCCCGTACAGGTCACTTTTACACACAAAATTTTAACCACTGGCGTTATCGCTAAGGAGGGTTTGGCGGAAAGAGTTTGTAGCTTTCTAATGATTTATGGTCTAAAGTCTAACTAAATTAGGCTGAGAGTTTGGCAGCCAATTGTGAGGCATACATGTAGGCCACTTCTCTCGCATCCAGCTCTTATCGTGTTAGAGAGAGGATGAAGTTTTTGGTGTTGCTTATCTCTTTCCGTCTTTCTTTACATAGGTAAAAATTATTACCTTTGCGAATCATACTAGTTTGCTCAATTAATTGTTTCTGATACTATTGCGCTTATAATTATCTCGACGAATAAAGCCAGTACAAACTTGAACGGTGAAAATTGGACAATCTGGTGAAAGATCGCCGAAGGTAATTTAATCGTTCTGGTCTTATTCCTCGATCGTATTGCTATTCCTCACTGCAAGTATATTGAACTTACCCTTTTCAGGGTACGAAGTATTATCGAGTATCTTGCACCGTTTTTGCATAGGGTAGTTAGATTGCGCAATTTGCTGTTGTTTTGTTCAGTTATTTCTAGCCACACTTAAATGGTGCGGTGCGTATGCGCTATGGTTATTTGATAATTATGCGTGTCAACTTCCATACATGTTTAATGAGATGGTTATTTTGTAATAGATATAGTGTACAGCTACTCGATATTACTGGAAAAAGGACGCATAGTGGGGGAAGCCTCTCTGCTGCACTGGTCAAACTCAGGTAGGCCAGCGCTTGAAAGTTAATGTGCGGCTTCAAATTGACCATGTGATTGGAAAATACTATAACTCGGAAAATACGGAACCGATTTTGATGTTTTTTTTTTTTTTTTTTTTTTTTTTTTTTTCTAGTCGGGTTTGACTTATATTGTGAGTACAATAAATGCGCTTTCACGTTTAATTTACATTCTTAAATGGAAGGTTTGTAATAGATAGAATATTGCATATGTATATCTTGAACTGTTCTCGATAAACTATACAATATTTTGTCGCACGTCACTGCATCACAATTTAATTACCTGATGTTTTGTAGTAGAGTGTTTTCATACTTAAGCAAAATACAATATATTGGTACATACGCAATACTTTGAAAAATTAGCAAAAACAATATTGTAATAAGTATTACATGTTCAGTGTAGAATATCATCGAAATTAGTTTATTCTAATACTTACATATATCGCCGCATCCATAGTATTTTACAAAATGCCATCGTGACTTTTAATTTCATACTTGTTACGTCATTCTGTGATATTATTCAAATTTTAGAATATTTATTGTTCGCTATTGTCTTCTGCTAGTCGTTTTTCTGTATTAACTTGGTATTGCTTTCTGGTAATGCACAAGTGCCGTAAATCATATCCAGCACTTTGTTACTGTCTTGTGCATTTGTATTATCATTGTTGACCATCCCAACATTGTCCATATTGGAGCAGTTGTTTTCGTGGCAAGTGGTGCAAAAAGTAGTGCACAGCATACCGTGCTTTCTGCACGTACATATTTTCCATGTGCATCCCATTCTACACCAACACCTAATACTTTTAATGACATCGAGAGGAAACAATGGCTTTTCCGTCATAACCTGCTCTAGGTTACCACTTCATATCTTTTTCCATGCATACTCGGTGGTGACTTTTGTCTTACCGTGCCATAGCTGCATTTGCAAATATGTTTAATGCGAATGTTGCTTCACAGCATCTTCCGTGGAGGTTAACAGTTGCAGGTTATACTTATTTTTAAAAGTTAGCTTTTTAAATAACACATATCAAAGTTTATTAAAAGATTGGTAATTTTTTTCATTGGAATACATATTTTTTGTCATTTCGATGCCATTTTTTATGTTTTTTTTTGCAGCATGCTTGTCAATACATTAATCAACGCAGTAACGTCGTCATTCTATAATATTCTAATAATTTTATTCTTTTCTGGCTTGAAAAAATAAGAAGCCATATCAGAACCCGAGAACGCGAAGATAAATAAAATACTTAAGTGTTCGTGCTAGAAACCATCTCTGTTGTACAT